GCTGCTTCGAGGTGGAACGTTTTCTTTGGGGTTATACTTCAAATCAAACTTGCATCCTCGGAATCCTTGAAGCCTAGCGTGAGTAGTGCAGGCCGCATTGCCTGCAAAGAACTCCAGCCAGTCATAGGCCTCACAAGCTCGAGAGCATGTGTGCATGCATGCTTATATAGTCTTGAAGTTTGAAAACAACTAGCACCCATCCTCGCTAAGCTCGTAGAGCCCATGAGTCCAAACCACCATGAGAACTATCAGGATGAACTCCTGGGCTCCCACTTGTGAATCACAACTAAATGGTAAAACATAATCTCGATGAGCTCGCTCTTTACATCTCGATATATAGTTCTTGCCACCATGTATCCCGAGGTGCCCCCAAAGCACACAATTTGAATATCAATGAATCCAGCTCCACCATGTTCCCACACACTTCGGTATTTGCCCGGGATCAAACAGGCAAAACTCCGAGCCAAGAATGATTCAATGGAATGTGATCAAGCCGGTGACACTTGCTCATTTCAAAAAACAACTTTCCCACACACCATGCTTTCTAATCAGATCGATGTTTATAACAACTGGCCGGTGAGGCGTTTTGATCTCGCTTGCCGCACCCGGCGGGCATTGGAAACCCTGGGCCGCCAGCCACGACGAGGTGCCATGCCGTCCTTGGGAAGACACGGGCAGGATATATAAACCAAACTATGAATGTTTCACCACAGTTTGCAGGCTTCAAATAATCACTCGTGAACTTCCAATGATGAGCATGGAAACTAAGCTGCACAGTAGTTAGTATGTTGAAAATTGAATGCGAACAACCTTTGTTTCCAAGCTTTGCATCGATGATTTGTTGAGTCGAGCAACAGGTCCCCGCCATAACCCACCGATCCACTTCACGAAAGAGACCGCGAGTAAAATTAGTGCTCACACTGTCTAAATATCGGAGCTAAAGGAAAAGAAACTGAACAACGAACACCATTCTAATATATTCCAATTCTTGTGCGTGGGTCATTGGCATTCCAGTGGGTGGGACAGGCTCGATGAGCATCGAGGCGCATTCAATTATGAAAATGCTACGTGGGCTTCCCGAAGCTAGGTTTCAAGCTGTAGCCCCATGATGATGGACAATTGCCATTCATCGAAACCCCATACAGCAGTTCCCACTCTGGGAAACACACACGATTAGACTAGCAACTAGCTCATACCAAATCCTGGAGCAAGACAGCCATCCCAGCCCGTCTGTACGCGTTCTCAATCTCTTCAACCTCTTCCATGAACTCCTCCTTGGTCATAGCGGTGGATTGCTCCAAATACCATGCCTTGGGGGGGCTGCGACGATCGAGCAAAAGGGTCCCGTCCCATCAATGTTTCCATATAGATTTAAAGTTTGTGCAATTTGCTTTTAAAGGTTCTTTCTACACTGACTCAACCAGAAAAACACAAGAAGTTTGAGATTATGAAATGTATCCTCAGGAATGATTCATTACAATGTTGGGTCGAGTAGCCGCACATTCAGCGCAAGCAATTGCCACTACTGCCGCACGTTGGGTTGCCTCATCATCGAACTTAAAGTATGCCACATCATGGTTCCCCTCGTTGGAACGCAAGGTCAGCCCACAAGCGGGTCTGCTCCAATAGATGTTGAGCCGGAAGAACCCAAACTTCACCCGGGCCGCTTTGACCTGATCCTTTAGAGTTTCCAGGTCGGAGCTCCAATCCACGTGCTCATTGACCCAAGACGTGATGTCCTCCTGCTGGTGCCAGAACTGGTTCACATCGATCTCAGTCTCTGCCATGGCTTTCTTGGCTTTCTTGGCTTTCTTGGGCTTCTGATCACTGGTTGGGCTCTTCTCATTCTTTGGACTCTTCTTGGGCTCCTTGGCATTCTTTGGCTCTGTCTCGCATGCGTCAGACGACTTGCGCTTGCGGCTCCCCTCATTTGCTGTAGCTGCAGGCTTGGATGAGGATGATCGTGATGGTGCCATCTTGCCATCCTTCTTCTCAGAAGTCGCCTCCTTCGCACCCTTGCCCTTCCTACCTTTCTCCGTTTTCTTCTCATTCTCATCTTCGCCCTCGGTGTTCTTTTTGGCATTTCTTCTGTTGGTTTTCTTTTCCTTGTTCTCATCCTTCTGGCCACTTCGTAAAGAAAGCTGATCCCTGCGAGAAAAGACCTTGGATCGAGCGGCAGAGATAGATGGCACTGCAGGTGCAACCAGTTTGGCAAAAAAATAGCACGCATATCATAGATAAACAATTGTTGAATATTGTTGGTTTGTTGGGTCTGTTAAGACATTTGTTTAAACGAAACTTGCTTGCTGCGCATCCAAAGGACAACCGCTGGTGCCTCATTTGGCTCGGACACCACAGGCACGGCATTGGGGTCTGCAGAGTCTGGATCAACTTTCTCGGGTTTATATAGAGCAGTGCCCACGGAGTCAGAACTCTTCTCAGCTGCCGGCACCTTTCCCGTCTCATCCCCCAAAGATTCGTTTGAATCAAGGTTGATAACAACCCTGGGGGCTTGGAACCTCTGACGTTTCGTGCGAGGGCTTTCAGATGCTTCAGGAAGCTTGGAAGTAGTTGCACCCGGGCTTGCAGGCAATGACTTCTCAGCAGCGGTACGTGTAGCTTCATCCATCAGCTGGGTCTCCACATTGTCCGGGCAACCAAAGATTGGGACAGATTGTCCTGTAGAGGGTTCCCGGTAATGGACCCCAAAAAACACATTCAAAATCATTCAAACACAAAAGTAGCTATCGGCGATGAACGGCCTATGCTGAAGAAACTTACGTGCTACAATTCAATCATATATATTCGCTATATATTAACAACCTCAACTATATCCTTCCCGCTCGATGTACTAAGTTCGGTGCACGGGTATGTTGCGTATTGATCAAGTACAGAAGTTAGTACAAACCTCAAGGGGCCACAGGAGCCAATGTCGACTGAAAGTCCCGCATAGATCTTAATTTGAAGAACCCCATGCACCTCTCCCCAAGGTAGGCTTTGCCACCGGCATTGCCCCATCATCAGCAGGCTTCATCGAAGACTCGCGCGATTGCAACTGCGTGAGCATCATCCTCTTTCGCTGGATCCTCAAGCAGCCATGTCTTCTCGAGTTTTGCGGGCTGAGGTTTTGAAATCCCAAAAGCATTGTTGGCAACATCAAAAAGTGTACGGACGTCCAAACAAGATGCTCCAAAAGCTTTGCCCGCTTCTCTTCCAAAGGGTCAGGAACTGGTTGGTCAAGAGGTGGAGTTGGGGCCGAAGAAGCACTTCCTCCAGGGGTGACAGAAGATAGCGCCCACAACCAGTTTTGATTTATAAGGTTGAACACTTTCACTTTTTACAAGGCAGAACAAAAGACGTGCTTTCTATGTTTAAGCTCCTGGACCATGAGGTGCTGCCTTTGCTGGCGGATTGGCTTCAGAAGGAGCTTCGGGGGCAGAAGGGCCAATGGGGGCAGAAGTGGTGCCCGCTTCAACAGACTCCTTTGGTTCCTCTCCAGAAGTTGTTGGGGGACATGGGGCTGGCTTTTGCTGAGGTGTGGGAACTCCCATTGGGCTCGGCACAGGGGCCCCTTCTTTGGCGGGACCGCCAGTGCTGACCCCTTGAGCAGAACCATTTGGCTCAGCAATAGGGCTTGGGATCACATCTTCTTCCTACAGGGTTTGGCAAAATGCTTGGCATTAAACCCATGCACCCAACATTGAACGAAGGGGGATTGAAGTTGAAACATGCGTCAGTAGGACCTACCAGCTTAGTTTCAGTTTGGACACCAAAGTCCTCGTCCACAGCGCTCTCCTTTGAACCAGCATCCTTGGCCGCCTTCTCATTTATCTGGTTCACGTGATCCTGTCCAGACGATTCCAGACGTATACTTTGGATGATATTGAAAAACACATGAGTCTAATTCTGGAGTGATAGCGTAAACAACACCTTCTTGCAGTTATTTGAATCCCACAGCTTCTTTACCTCTAGCGCGTGCTTTTTTGGGCACCCCATCCTCCAAGGCCGGGTTCACAAGGAGGCACAGCGATTGAAAGGTGTGATCCTGATCAAGCAAACGACCCCGCGCAAGGAGTAAAGCACAAAGTGACACCATGTGACACCTATACTAGCTAACCTGCAACCCTTTTCCCAAGCACCCAAGAAAAAACTACTAATCTAGACAAGGCCACCCTACTTACTTCTGCTCGTTGGGTCTTTCGCTTGATGAATGACACCATATCCCGAATAGACCATGCATCTCCATCCACTATATCCTCGGATACCTGACGCTGGTTTTTACCATAGACTTGAGCTACAGCTTCACGAAGGCCATCAATCTCTGCAAGACGGCTGCCGCCCCCAATCTGAGCAAGAATGGGGATCAGGAGTTCATAGTTTTCAACGCACCTTGGGATCTTGATGGCTTTACCTTGGTCATCTGAAACCAGGGGTTTACCACCACGAAGCCGATCTCGAAGGGCCTCATTGGCATCCCACTCAGCTGGAAGGGTAGCGCAATCAACGTAGGTCGCTGACATGGCTACCGCCGGCTTTCAAGCTCCCCAAAACTCAAAAAAGCACAAGTGGCTGCATTACATTGATGCATCATTGAATGTAATTGACATTTCATTCGTGTTGGTTTAGATGACTATTCCAAGATCTCGAAAAATCGATCTACTCAGCTGCCACGGTTCTCCCTTCCAGGAGCTTTGGCTGAGTTCCCCGACATTGCAGCTGGCTCTTCTCGCGAAAAAGGATGTTTTCGCTGAGCCGGGTGCTGCAAGTACCCTTGGACTCATGAACAATATGTTCATATTGTTTGTATTCTCACCTGATCTTTCAGGAAAGTGGTGTTTTCGAGAAAAACCCGGTTTTCTTGATGAAAACGCGGATATTGCTACATGTGAGATCAGAAACTATGTTTTCAGCACAGCTCCTGCTTTTTTGTGGTGTTCAGGTTCCCAAGGTGGTAGTAGCTTCTATAGCTTCTAAATCACGGGATCTCACATCCAAGATGCCACCCGCCGATCATAGGAGCCCACCACGACATGGTCACCTGTGGGGTGCCTCAGGGGCGCGTGAAGACGTGCCGGATAAAGGTGCGAGAGCGCCCACAAACCTGGAGGGATGGAGTCTTTCCCCATCGGACTGGAAGAGTTATATAATTTATATATCTATGTATATACCTACATTTGATGGGTCATTAAACCAAAAACAACTACAAGTCCAGTCTGACCCAGTAAAACCTGGTCCTTTACCTCCTTGAGTATGGTTTTTGTATGACCGACTCCAGTAAAAATGAGGTCTTTGACCTGTAGGGAAACATGGTGATCACATCGTGTATTAACAAAACAACATCCACGTACCATGGAGATCCATGGAGATCCATGGAGATCCATGGAGTCTGGGTCAAGAGGACGTTGTTTTGAACGAAGCCTTCGCAGCTGACCCAAGAGCGCCCAAAATCATGGAGGACCTGAGATGAACCGGCTCGTCTGACGCACAGCTATCGGACAGAACATGGGATAGTCGGGATAGTACTATTTCAGAATATATCAATATCTGAGCAGTCTGAGGCATCATCATCATCATCATCATCATCAGCAGCAGCAGCAGCAGCAGCATCTGTTGCATCTGTTGTTTATCACCACCATGGTCATGGTCATGTTTGTCAATGTCTTGTGTCTTTTTCAGCTGATCATGGGCACTCCAGCCATCCTACACCTCGGTGAAAAAGACTTGAAGTCGACCAGCAACCGAGTGATGACATCTCATGCACGTGGTCAAGTTGTTGTATGATTATGTTTGTATTTTTATGCTTTTTTGGAGGTTTGATGTTTGATGAGTCTTGTTCAAAGGCTTGAACGACGAAGAAAAAGATTGAACTGGCCTTGTAGCCACGGCTCATCTTCTCTTTCAGGGATTTCATGGCAATGGCAGTGTGCAACCCGTGTGCTCATCGTTCCTTTTACATCATACGGAGGCCGTGCAGTGGGTGGTCTGGAACATGGGAAACCCCATGTGGGTCATCCACAGGGATGACATCCCGCAGGATGACTACTGTTGCTTCACCCAGGCCGCCAAGATGCACTGTCACTGAAGAGATCCACTTAGCACCACTGATGAGCTGTTTCACTTGCGCCCTGGGGCGGATGTGATGTGAGGTGACGCGTGAAAAACCAGTGATTTGTGAATTGGTAAATGAATCAAGGACCTGAAAAAGCCGGTCAGTTGCTATGTCACACTTAGGAAGATCTTACACTCTAAGCCAACTAAGAAGGTAAGTCCTTGGCCCACGACATCATACCACGTCTCAGCTGGTGTTCTCTCCACTTCGAGTCTCTGAACCCTCGTTCCTTCGCTCAGCCGTTCGAACCCCTAAGTTCGATGCTGTTTCTGCAGATCATAAATCCGCACGCTGCGCATCGTTGCCACCAGAAAATGAGGCCTTGATCCGGCGGAGGATGGCACCATGCACCATGCACCAACTACCTGCCTCTTGGTCAGAAGCACCTATGCTAGGCACGCTCCAGAAGCCCTTGATGGAGTTCATTGAGCAGGCTTAGCTGCGAGGTGAAAGAAAGAACAGAACTTAAATTAGTATGCCTTTCCATGTCATGCGGTTGTTTTCCCCGACCTTAAACATCTGTTCAAAAACCTAGCCCAGCCTACCGCCTACCATGCCTGGACCCTGCCTATACCCCAGCCGCAGCTCTTTGACTCACCATCCAACATGTGCCACTTGGCCGGCCGAGCCACTTGCTGGGATGGAAAGCACAGCTTTGCACCTGCTGTCCACCCCGCAGTCGGGCAAAGGGTCGCATCGACTTTTGCTGGTTCAATGCCTCAGGTCGTCGGACGAGAGTTGTGACGACCGTCCCCGCGGGTCATGTCGAACTTCTCACCAAACGTGACAGGTGGCTTGCGTGGACATGCTGTGACACACGGGAAACGCCACGTTTTTGTCAACTTGTGTCATGCCATATTAGACTCGAACGACAGCCAACAAATAACCTTTGACTGTCCGATGGGACTGATGAGGTCAATCTTGGCCTGTCAATGACGACAGTGTCGGACAGTGTCGGCTTGTGATTGCAGCCATCGTCTGCAACAACCCTTGCGAGAAAAAGAACGTTCCTCTGACGAACTAACATGGAAGTGGAAAAGGGTTCCGAAAGGAAGACTTCATGTAGACTCTTGATTAATGAAACCCCATATGAAGACTCTCGACACCCCACCCATACCCGCTCCACCTGTGGGCAAGGGATGGTCGGAGCGACCTGTCCGCGAGTCCGTGCATCCAAGTGGGGTGGGTTCATTAATCAAGAGTCTACATGACTTTCCAGGCCACGAACAGGGGGGTGTTCCAAGTTCCACTTCCATGTTAGTGAGTCAGAGGTACGTTCGTGTCCATTCTGAGTTCCACCAGGTCCCGCGGCATGGATGATGCACTGGTTCGAGGTCGCTCGCGCCTGTGGCCGCGAGCCGAAAAAGGAAGCGAAGCAAAGGAGGATGAATGCAGATTTGCGGTGTACCCATCAACCAGGAAGATCTCGCACAAATTGCGGAAGTTGCCGCAATCACGATGCTGGTACCCAACTATACCTGTGGTCCTTATTGCGGTGTTCAGATCGTGTACCCGATTCCATCGTGATTCCATATGAATATGCCTTCCAGCATGACCAAGTTCACACTGCGGTTGGGGCTCACCAGCCACCAGCCATCAAGTCGACTCAAGTTCACACACACTTATACTAATAGAGTCCATTATCACACCACAAACAGTTGCATAGCTATCACTATCACACCTATATACATACATCTGTCCACGAAAAATGTACAGCAAAAAAGCGCTCAGCCTCCCCCGGCAAAAAAACAAGGGCGTAGCACGAATGCAGGTGAGACCAAAACCTCCCAAAAAGGACTAAAGGAAGAACGTTACTCCTTGAAAACAAAGGACCCTGAAGAATGTCAAATCAAACTCCAGGAGTGCCTTGCTTTGTGACTCAAAACCCCGGAGCGGCGGAGGAACGTGCGCGCCGACCTTGGGGCTCACCGCTGCGCAGTAGTTCCCCTTGTGGTGCCACACCAAGAGCTGCACATCTCCGTCCGTGGCGATGGAAAGCCTTCCGATCGCGACCGCGCATCTCCGTCCGCGGACGGGGAACGGGGTCATGGCTGTGGGGTCATGGCACCAGCAGACTGCTCCCGGTCGGGCGAACGAACGACCCGTCTGCTCTGTAGCTTGGGGCTGTGCTTCAAACCATTTCAAACCCGTTGCAAAGGGGTGGAAACCAGGTTCCGTTCTGGTGCACCCATGCATGTGATTTGGGATATATAAAACCTACGATTCCTAGATGTTAAATTACGTATTACCTGACACTCCATGTATGAAATATACATATATATATATATATTTATTTATTTATATAATTTGATTCTTATTATATTCCTACATTGGGGTGGTTTCAAGGGTCAATGTAGGCATAATATACCATACATGGAATGTTTGGGTTATATTGTATTGTAAGCCTAAGCAATCCACGGAATTACCAATTTTTCTTTGTTTATGAGGTGTTTCTTCTGTGTGTCAATTGTCAATCTTGAAACCGATCCGCTCGTGCCTGCAGCCCGCGGCGTGCTGAGGCGAATCGGGCTGCACGGCACGCCAGTGGACGGCTTTCGCTTTGGCCGCCGTTGGCTCCTGGTGAAACGGTCAGCAGCTCGTGATTCCAAGCAGCTTTTTCCAACTCAACAAATATTCTTTTTGGTATAGCCTGCCTAGAAGTCATTTCTGTCTATCACGGCGGAGCTGCATACCTCTTGAGTCTGAGGTGAGGGGTTGTATCTACAAAAGGCAAGGGTCCCCGAATAGATCGAAAAAGGCCGGCCAATATATAATAAGGGAATTGGTTTCTCGGTCTTTGGGAAGTTTTAAACCCTGTCCTAGGTGAATACTTAACTGTTACGTAGGAAAACCACGCACTCTCCCAAAACAATTGGCGCAAGGTCCCCACCATCTGTAGCTGCAGCTTGGCAAAGCCAGGCTGTTGCAGGGGGCCATGGTCACCCTCTTCCTCAAGTACCTTCTCAGAAGGTGCTTGGACCCTCAAAACCTACATAACAGTGTCTCCAACCACCGTACCTGAGAAGGTACTTGGAGCCCTAGGCTCTGAGTGGAGTCCTTCCGAGAAAACTCTACACGACGATTCCGTCTTTTCTGACGAACTTCCGGGAACCAAGCAAGAGCGGACCGTTGAGGACTGAGTGACTGAGAGGAAGCGACGGCTTTTGACCAATGGCTGAGAACTGGCTCACTGACATCGTGCATCCGCTCCTCAACTTCCTCTCCCTCAGGTTTCGCCACATTCGCCTGGAGAGGACGACTTGGAAGATGGACGCTTCGCATGCAGGTGGTGTTCTTTTTGTCCCGGACAGCTCACTTAGCAGGTGTCTAAGCTTGACTGTGGTTTACACACCACAGTGGTTTGACAATTTTATATAAGTACGAAAAACAAAAACACAATGATTGCTCTCAGATCCGGAAAAATGCCAGAAACGCACGGATATACCTTGGAGCCTGTACTAGCCACTGGTCAAAAATCAGCTTTGTCAACAAACAGTGCCGATTTAGTAACAGCTTATAATATCTTCCTTCCTTCCTTCCTTCCTTCCATACCTGTGCTATAGCCAAATGGCCGAGGACTGGCATTCTCACAGCCCCTGTCTCATTGAGCCCTTGATACCCCAAATAGCTCGAAAATTGGGTGGGCAGTGCGAGCCGGATCATCTTCTCCTCAAAATTTGTTTCCTCACCTTTGATTATTCCACAAAAATGTTGCATCATTGTTCGACCTGCAGTTTCGCCAGCTCCTAAAATATCTGAAGCTATATGCTTATAGTCTTAGTGCAACATAGTGAAACCTCCCAAACCTAGTCAGACCTGCCAAACGCCTGGTGTGTCCTCTGGGCTAACCAGCCAAACCAAAAGCGGTGTGAAACAGCGCACCTCCTTGAACTCCAGCAGGGATGACACAGCCACCGGTGCCTCCAACGGCATGAACGGACAGTGCGGTGGTATCCGATCTGTGTTCGGCTTCCAAGACCTCCAACAGCCTTGATCAGAATCCCAAGTCAGAGAATGGTTACTTGGTAACCTTCCACAGAATTCTTTTGGACTCCCCGAAAAAAATGGCCGTCTTGGAATCTTCATCGTAGTTCACTAGGAACCCTTTCAGCCCCCACCACAACGATGTGGTCAAGAGATGAATTTTGACAGGAAGAAGTCGTACAAGTTCGCTCAATCCATCAAAACTGGCATCCGAAAGGTCGTGTATTTGATCACAGCTGACACGCTGACAGTTCGTTGGGCGGATTCGGGCAGGTGACTGGGTCTGGGTGACCTCGGGAGAAATCTTAAAATGTTGGAGGCAACATGACCTCTTCATCAGTGGATTCTCCCGGACTTGCTTCAGACTTGGCGAACTTGCCAAGGGTTCAGATCTCCAAGACAACGTGGATCAAAGGCTGGCTGATACTCCCAACATTCACGCTACTAACTCACCTGGCCTCACAGGTCTCACCTGGCCTCACAGGTCTCACCTCAAAAGTTGATGGGTGGCATGCAGAACCTTTTCAAAGGCCTCTAACTGAACCTTCCCCTGGGCCCCTGTCCCCACCTGCCCGCTTGGACGTGATCGATCAAAAAAGCCAGCCTCTGTGGGGCCATGCGAACGGGCCGTCTCCAATATCCAATGCACTCCATGAAACTCCATGTATGGCATATATGCACCCCTTATGACCCCCTTTTTCACCCCAATGTGTTGGGGTTTCTATATGCCAGTCCCGCCAGTGGTATCATGGGATACAGGCCAACAGCGGCCCCTGCTTGCTCACAAAAAATAAACCTGCCTCGCCGTCAGGAGCTGCCTGGCAGGAGAGCAGTCTGGATGATGATGGGAGAGTCAACACCATTTTAGGGGATCCATCATAGGACCATCTAAGGGTTGTAGTGGATCTGTAGATCCAGAAGTATAGTATAGGCAGTATAGGCACCAACTAAGGTTACGTCGGCAGGCAAACCTAGATGTTGCTGGTGGGAGTCTCAGGTTTTTCAGTTCGAGTTCCAAGCATCGACTTCAAAAGTGTCAACTGGGATGCGGGAGATGTCCAACCACCCGAACTGAGTGGTGCTCAGCCACTCAGGACTCAAGACTACTCAGAGAAGACTCTCAGTCTCCCAAGCATGTACCTAGTTTAGCATATTTACCTAGATTGGGGTGGCTTTGAGATGTTTACTGATGTTTCAAAGGTCAATTTAGGTAAGTGTTCCATACATTACATTACATGGATTGTCTGGTTTTGGGTGTCTCTCTAGGGAAATCCACATGGGTCACACTGATCGTTTAGGCTTTGGTCGCTCTCTCTCTCTCTCTCGCGCGCCGAGCTGCCAGCTCACTTGCCTGGATCTCCAACTGAGGGTCCAGGAAGAAGACGTTCTGCAGTGGATAGGGCACGCCCAGTTCTGAAAAAAAGGATCAACAAAAAGCCTGAAAGAACTGTGAGCGGCTTGACTAGGCCGTGGAACATTACTTTAGATATCTTTTCTCCCCAATCGAGGAGTTTCCAGAGATCACACACCTGACCTGTTCTTGATGAACATCGGCCCTACACAGGAGTACGGGGAAAAGCTCTTATGGCCCTCAAAGCCTTTAGCCCCGTGACACACGCCATCAACCAAACAGCCCATAGTTGTACTTACAATTGCATAAATATAGTATAATATACAGTCGGTACTATAGTCAGTTCAGTTCCTGAGAAATCAAGCAGTGACAACATGGAACATAAGCCTATAGGGGATCACGAGTGGATGGCATATCATAGGCTCCCTCCTCATGCCATCCTCATGTTATCCCCTGTAATTATGGAAAATACCATGACTACTCCAACATGACATGACCACTCACACTTCGAAGGCCTCTTTCAGCTCCAACGTCAAGGGATCACATGGCCCGACCAAGCACCAGCACCCCGGACCCCAGAATCAGCTGTGCCCCCCCCGCGTTCCGCGCCGCTGAAAAAGCGCCTCCTCCGCTGAAACGCTCAGCATCAAATGCTGGGGATTCCACGCCACAGCAGTGACTGCACTGCCTTGGCAGTGACTCTACGGTGGTCTCCGGACTCCCATGACTCTACTAGTTTTTTTCTAGATCAAATAGAGAAAAGTGGATCTTCCCAACAAATCAGGCAGTCAAGCAGTCACGCCAACCACTTCCATTTGTGGGCTTGGGATGTTATAGTATAAATATATATATATATATCATAATAATGCTATTTAAATCAATGATTGCTCTGCTGGAGCCTTTCTGTTCAGGCAAAGCTTCTTCACGGGTTTTTCAATTGGCTTAGGTTAGGCCCGATATGTTGCGACCGCAGCTACCTTCAACCCTCAAACGGGCAACCTGAGCATTGCCGGAGTTTGACACCAAAGGAAAACGCCTGGTACGGTACAGTACCAACCTATTGCGTTGGTTTTCAATGGTTTTAATCCGTTGGAAGGCACCGCAAAGGCAAAACTATGTCAGAAGGCTCACGTGTCCAAGCACTGCAAAACCAAAAGCCTTCCAGTTGCTTTTTGGAAGCGGTCACCACATATTGCCACTCCAGTCACGTGTCTAATACGTGGGGAACATCACTTCAGCTGTAAAAGCTGGGAGTTCGTCCTAGTCGGCAGTTCTTCTGAAATGAAGGAAATCCCTGCAGACAGGGATCGCCCCAATCCTCTCATCATCCCCTTCCAGTGGTCCGACGTTTTTAAGTTCCCCCGAACCCGGCGTACGCAGCGCATCAAAGTCGTTCATCGAAGATGATCGTTCAGCGGACCCACGCGACTGGAAAGACTCTGGCAAGCTAAGTCTCTCGTCGAAGGGGGAACTGCCAGGCTGGCCGATGAAGTGCAATCAGCAAAGGCCCTCTCTCCAATGACACTCAAAGAGTCAGGAACTGTTAGACTCGCCAGTGAGCAGCAGCCATGAAAGGCATCCTCTCCAATCTCGGTGACTGAGGCTGGAATCACCAGACTTGCCAATGAACTGCAGCCAGCAAAACTCTCAGCCTCAATCTCAGTCATGGAGTTCGGAAGTGTCAAACTTATCAATGAGCTGCAACCGGCAAAGGCCCCCAGTCCAATCTTGGTCACTGAATCAGGAATGGTCAAACTTGTCAATGAGCTGCAGCCACGAAAAGACCCGTGTCCAATCTTGGTTAATGAGTTGGGAATGGTCAAACTTGTCAGTGTGCTGCAGCCACGAAAGGCATCATCTCCAATCTCAGTCACTGAGGCTGGAATCACCAAACTTGCCAATGCGCTGCAGCCAACGAAACTCTCAGGTGCAATCTCAGTCACAGAGTCCGGAATTGTCAAGCGCGTCACTGAGCTGCAACGAGCAAAGGCCCCCAGTCCAATCTTCATCACTGAATCAGGAATGGTCAAGCTCGTCAATGAGTTGCAACCACCAAAGGCCCCAGGTCCAATCTTTGTGACAGAATTCGGAATCGTCAGACTTGCAATCGAGACGCAGCCTGCGAAAGCAAACGAAGCAATCACTGTGATGTCATCCGGGATCTTCACCATGAAGCAAGCAGCCAAGTTGCTCAAGCAGTTCGCATCTTCTTTTCTTGCACATTCGACGGAACGGACCTTAGCGATGGAAGCTCCATCCAGGCCATAGAGTTGAGCTTGCTTGGGCAACTCTTTGGAGCCCACTCAAAAAACTTCAAAAACGTGGGGGTACAGCTGGATTCTCTCCACAACTTGTGATTCCCTATGTTGAAGGCTGACCAGTAAAAGAATCTCTTAAACAGACCTTGCGACTGTGAACAACACATGCAAGACCACATCTGGAGAAAGCCCTGCTTCCGCAATTGTCTGGTCGTCGTCAATGAGCTTTGTTTCACCCATGACCACTTCGACCGAGGTCACCTTCTTCATCAGTTCATCGCATTCTTGCAACCCTTTGAGCTGACTCTTGAATTCCCCAATAGTCAGGGAAAGCTTCAGTCAGAACTGAACCACCTGGCACGAGGTCAACACAGTCGTCTAGTCACGAAACAACGGCGACGAAGCCAAACGCACTCGCACCAACTAAATGACCCCGGGCTCCAACCATCTCCTCAGAAGGTGGATAGACCCCTTTTGGCACCCACCCTAACCATCTGAAAATGTGGTTGGAGCCGCAGGGTGAATACAAAGTGACGCAGAACCGAGTGGCTCATTTGTTGCACTGGAATTCTCATCGTCATGGCTCAGCGCCGCTCGAATCCACAAGGGCTGCAACGGTTTACCGCTGCAGTTCACAGTGTGGTTTACCTATGATTGAATATGAATGGCCGCGTTTCGTCTGTCATCCAAACACATGTAGTAGATTTGACAGGATTCAGTAAATCCCGGGCCATAGCATCTGATCTTTTCTCTTTGGGGAGATTACTTGGTTTTCCGCTTTTGAGGTCTGACACGGAGAGCCGGAACCGCAAGAACTGGTGTTTGTTTCGCAAGTCATGGAGGTCACACTGCAGAACAGATAGGCACAGCGCCAGGGTGAAAACAAATCAGCTGTGGAGATGGTCCTCTCTTTCCTCTTCCGCATACCAAAGACGTTCGTCTGCGCGACCGCGCAGGCTGAGAGATGAGCCACGTCCTTCGCCACGCTCAACTCGCTCCCCAAGGCCGAAGACAGGCGAAAAGTGACGAGAGGTAGATGCACAAAACAGGAGGCACAGTGTAGAAGAAAAACCTATGGTTCCAGGAGCTTTAAATAGCACAACATTCCACTAGAAACTGCATTCAGCTAGAAACTGAACAACAGAGCGAAAGAATGGTCAAAGAAATCGAACGTGCACAACCCCACTTTCTCAGTGAGAAGAACCTTCAGTCAAACCTCCTGCATCCAAATTATGTATTCCACCTTACTACATACAGCCAACAACTCCATATAAACATCACCGTAACCTGTGATTGGATGCACTTTCCACTGCCGATCTCAGTCAACATCCGACTCCCAGCACAAGGATTGCCCATCCCAGTGAACAATCTGCAGTTTCTTACTTGTTTGTTCACCATACCCAAATGGCAGCTGTTTCGAAGTGTAGAAGAATCGGGTCTCACTTGCAGGTTCGGACTCCTCCCTGTTGAGACCAAGCCATGGCTGGGGTAGTAATGCATATGGAAGATCCCTGTTTGTTCCATATGTGCTGCAGAGTCTTCCATCAAATCAAAGGTAGGACAACTTTTGAGAGTTCTACTTTTGATCCCGCCTAACTACGCCCCATTCAACCCTTCATCCACACATTCAGTGACCGGTAACCCAGTAACTACCCCCCGAAAGGAATAAACACACCAATCGCAAAACACATATTTGTACCTGGCCACTATTAGGTGATCCAACAAAGGATACACAATATATAAAAAGGTCAGTTTAAGAACCCGCTGGTCAGTTGAGCGGCTCATAGCGGCTCTGAACACCTATGGCATCTGCCTATGTTGTACGATTCTGCTTACGCCACTGCTGACGCGCCCCTTACGTGACCACAATGGTAGCTTGCACACGCAGTTCTTTTCAAGAAGGGGCTTACGCAACACTTACGCATATGACTTTATTGTAAAAACAATTTTAGCACCACACCACAGTCACAGCCTGTTTTCCAGGCAAAGCACACACCGCGTTTCCGTCAAACATATCTGGCAGAAAGGATTGGCATTTGGAAAGCACTCAGCCCAACAAATCTCTTACATCCGCCGCTGGGCAGCGAGCGGCCAAAAGTTCATCAATGGGTTGGTCTTCCAAAGCAAACCAGGCTTACGCAGTGCTTACACGGAGCTTACGCGGATTTCCGACACCAAAAGCTTGAAACGGATTCTTTTATGTTCAAGCAGCTTGTCAGAAACACACCCTGTTTCAATGGTATATGAAAAATGTCCATATATACGGTGCACATGTGCGTACATGTGACATGACATGTAATTATATTGGGCTTTACGCAGCAAGCGCGCAACTCCTATCTCCCACAAAAACCTCAATCTGACGGCACACCTAGGTGCTCACGCGAACCATTGATATGACAAGCCCACCAGTACAAATGAACAGAGAGATTCCTTAGAGTCGACAGGGCCGTTTCCCTGGCCCTGCGCCGCTTCCCAGACGAGAGGCTGAACTTGATGCTGCGAACCGGGCGCCCAGTGGCCACCTTGGATGGGGGTGGATGTTGGGATGAGTTCTTGAGTTGCCTCACGAGAAAGGACAGGGAAAGACAAGACACTTTTTGGGAGATCCAAAGGCTGTGAGGATTGAAGTTCCGCGTTCAATTCTCAGATTCACCAATTCGATTTGAATGTTTACTCTGAACCAAGCTTTGAGATTCGAGATGCCAGACTCAGTGAACATAGTGAAACAAATCCTGGTGACTTGCCCATTCTTCTCGTAAGGCGTGATGCGTGTCGATCAGAACTTAGTGAAGTGTACAAAACATCATTCTAGGATATTCCGATATTCCAGGCACAGATTGTAAGGTAACAAGCGGGCAACAAATATATAAGTTCTATAGCTCTGATACAACTTGACTTAAGGACTTTAAGAATGCTTTGGCATCTGTACTTCCTAGTCTGCAATGTAATGAAACACAACAACAATTAACCGTAGACCTATATAGAAAAGGCCCGCAATCCTAAGGGTGCAACAGTCTGCACACCAAAGACTGTCTGATGGTATAGTCATCTTGCTTTCATTAATTGCCTCTAGGAAAGCGTTTGACTGGGAGAAGCGTTTGACTGGGCACGTCGGCAGTCGAGTGCACGGAGTGTCCCGCGACGTCGGACATGTCCATCGGTTCGGTCTGAACACTCGTTCCTGCGACTGGACACCTTCGGACCAACCCTTCGAACCGGTTCCGGTTCGTGCCATGGGACTCCGACAGACCTCCGCCAGACTCCGGGTTTCGCTCGCCTCCCAGATCCTCAGCGTCTCGTCCGACGAGGCCGTCGCCAAGTAGCGGCCGGTGGCCTGGGTGACCGCAGGTCCCAGCGCTCCGGGCGAGGCGAGAAGTGAAACACCCTGGGTTTGATTGGTCAGGTGATACGAGTGAAATGAAACATACCTAATACATATACCTAATTATACAATATGCAATACCCATCAATACCCTATTTAAAAAAGAAAAACAACTCACCAAATCACCCAAACCAAACTGTGTGCTGGAGGAACCCAGTGACATCCAGTAATTATAATTACCGCAGAGTTGTTCAAACACTCAGATGAAAACACATGTGGAACTCTTCCTCCTTCATCCCAAAAATGATTCTGATCCGCAAAAAAACACATTGCCACCCCAAATCCACATAATGCGAACACCGGGCGATCCACGTCACCTTTTTTTGCGCGCCAACCGGTGGAGCGCTGACTGTCAGAATTCGCTCTCCGTCCCCGGTGGCCTCGACCGCAACGGAGCGGATCATGCCCTCATGACCCTCATAGCTCACTGCGATGTGGGTGGGAAAGGGCCGCAAGTCCTCTGGACGAAGCCCAAAGTCAAGGGCTGTGCCAGACTGGAAGAGTGACCGATGGTGTGGGGTCATCCATGGGTCATTCATCTATCCCTAGCAATCCACAGACGACTGGGCCCTCTTGGCGCCTACATAGTCTCCAATCACCTTCTCGGTATGTGGATCATTGTGGATCCACAGGGTATGGAAGGTTATGGGAGTCAGTCAATATATATGTAATTCTTCCAGTCGTATGTATGGTCTGCGGTGGGAAGAAATCGGATTATTTGGATGTGTAATTGTATTTTAATACCAATATATAGGTTTTGGTATGTTTTGGTCTATTTCCCTTCTTTTAGGGGTCTCCCTATTGCAATACACACCCAGTTGGCATCTTGAGCTTTCGGTTGGGTGATGGGTGATAGAGGTAAACTGAACCTTCGCATCGTCATAAAGTAATGACATTTGCTGGCAAGGGGATGCACATGGATGGACTGGGATGAATGGTTTGACATAAAGCCAAGTTGATGATGATCTGCCAGTCCATCTATTGAAAGGACATTCCTGGTCTATTTTGTGAATTGGGTGCCAAAGAACTTATGTTTCCTATCCTCGTGGGAAACGGTAAAAGTCAGCCACTCAGTCAGAGCAGCATCCTGAATCTTAGGGCTCCGTAAGCTATCTGAAAAAGTTTGGGCAAAGGCAAAGTGCAACCAAACGCCCATGCAAAAAGAACACACGGAGCAAAACATGCAACAAAATACATCCCCTTGAGCAAAGCAGGTCGGAGGGCCACTGGTCAGATGACCCACTCTCTACGAATCTATGTCTAACCTCTACACGGACAATCTGGGTGGTTTCACTGGTCCATGTTGTTACATCTTCCGGTCCCATCCGTTGACTCCTCCGGCTTCCGCTCCTTGGGGTTGGGCAACTTGGGCAGGAGGCTTTCCTCGCTGAAACCGAGTGTCGGGCGCCGATGTCCGGCGCCCCTGACTAGGGCGCCTGCGAGTAATAGAAATCGCCGGATCAAAGCTCTTGCTTTACCCTCACCAACATGGAAGTGGAAAGTGACCCCTGGGAAGGCTATGATTGTCAATTCGATACAGTTACAAACAGGGTCGGTTTCCACATCCATCTTGGTGGGTCGGAGAAACATCTTGCAAATTTATATATGTCAGGAGAACCGGCTCATGTAACACTGGACGATGTCAATGCAATCAACATCTTCTTGTCACCCCAATACACCACTGTAGGTACTATGTTCAGCCTAAAGACTATAAGATCTATAAGAGCCAAAGCCTGAAAATCGTATCAAAACTTCACATTGTACAGTATACACACTGAAATGATGAAATGTAACAACAAATGCTCGGTGAAGATGGGCTGGGTTTGGTTCCAAAGGCTTTGGATGTCCTTCATCGATCTGTCGCGACTTCCAAGGGCCATATGAGCCTGTCTGAAAGTTTCGAGCACCTCTCACCCTGGGTGGGCGGTGTCCTTCAGATTTGGGCATACTCATCTTCCTCGAGTCACTCCATCACGGGCCACGATGTAGATCCGACCCTGCTGTTGAACGTGGAGGTTGAACTCCGACCCTTTGGCAAGACATGGGTATTTAAGAAGCCACCCAAATCTGTTGATCTCCGACCACCCTAAATCACTTGATTGGGTCATGCTTCCACGAAAGCCAAGAAAGACGGAGCAACAGTGACGAAAACCAACGCGGACGAACATGTCAACCAACGCGGACGAACAGTGACGAAAATACAACACAAATAAGAAAACACTAGAAAAAACCCTTGCCGAACCCAAATATCTGTGAAGCCCGGACACCTGGTCGTCACTGCAGTGTAGCCCTTGATCTCACGACCATGCCAAACCCTGCCAAGCATCTGGATCCACGTTCATGCGCTGTTTCAAGGCTCTGGGTACCAAGTACAGGTCCAAGCACCTGTGGACATCGGCACCAATGGACAGGTGTCAGTTTAGATCCTGTGACTTCGGATCGGCGCCGACCCAGCCCGTCGACGCTGTGCCGAGCCATCGGGAAAGACCCAGTCCGACGAAGGCCCAGAGACCCAACATGTTCATACCTGGAGCACCATCTGGGTGTGTCTGGAGTAGTCCAATGACACCCAGACAAGATGGTCCTGTACAAGCAGAAACCGATCAACCTTGACGTGATCGTCTGGCGCGGCCTACCACGGAGAGTGCGGCCACTCATTTGGAGATTATACCAGAAAACTCTAACGTTCAGGGCGCTGTACCTGCACCAAGAATACCCACAGAAAAAGCAACCAAAGTCAGCCAAACACCAAACAAAAAGAGGACCAAAGCCGAGCTCTCCCAGCCTCTTGAAGCGCTCTAAGGTGAAATCCTTGTAGCCCGGCACATGTCGCAAGCTCTCGAACTTCTGGGGAAGGTGGTTGAGGGTGCGGTCCTGCCGATCAGTCCATTTCGGCACGATCAGTCTTTCTGGGAGCTCGCACGGCGGCTCCCCGGTGGACAGGCACATGAACATCGACAAAGAAGCTTCGATGGACAATGTAGGGAAAATGGATCGAATCGGGACTGTTCCGATATCCTTTCAGGGGCTCAAGAGCTTGAGAACGTTTGAAAACAAATGAACAAGCAAACAACCAGAAACACTAATTCTGAAAAAGAACACAGCAAACTGTTTGTTATTACAGTATATATAAAGCATAGATCGACAAAGGCTTTTGAGACCAATGGAATGGAATCCGACAAATATACTGTTCTATCTTGACTTGATGCTTCCTTTGCAGTGCAACATAAGTCCTTCATCCAGCCCCCACATCAAATCACAATGTTTCCTCCTACCGACACAACTATGCAGAAGAACGCACGAACGATTAACTGTGAGATATCACAGTGTCCTCTTCAAAAGTCTCTTCCCATTCTTTCTTCTCCTCCTAGCAAAAGGCTGATGAAAAGTCAAATGTAGTTCTTTGGTTGATCTCCGAACCAGTAACAGTTGATGTATCTCGGTGGCCAAAAGTCCTACCACTCTGAACTTTTCAGACCGTGTCACACTGTGTCTATGAAGCGAGATAACCCAATGTATACGCCGGTTAACCTTTGCCAACAAAAACTTTACAATTGAGTGGAAGTGGGAGCTGCCACGATTCTGCATGTCGGATTTCTCGCATCCAAATGATGACCACCTTGAATACTTCGGACTCTATGACACCAGTATAATGCCCCCGCCCTGAACATTGAAGAGTATCAAAGCAAATGCCAAAGGAGAAAGGTCGTCCCCAAACAAGCTGAAGCTCAGTAAACAAAAGGAAGTCCATCCGCGAAACTTGGTGAAGTTGGGTGAGGCCGCATCCTCATGCATGAGAATCATGGATCATGAGTACAGCAAGCTAGTCGGTGAGAACACTATGTTCCTCCACACAAACAACTGTTTTTGTCGGAGTTCTTGGTCAACACTTCCTTTCTCGGTACGGACTTGTAGTCTGGGCCGAAACTGCCGTATAGGGATCGCCCTTGAGGAGCGTTTGGATGGTCTAGGTGCACTCCCCGAAAATAAATGGAAGTGGTGATCAAAAGCAAAGCGAGTCCAGAGGAACACGAAATCCGAAGATCCAACAGGTAGTTGTCCACTTAGGGAGTGTAGACTGACCTTTGGTGTTCAATCAACAACTTTGATAATATATATCCCGAAGAGTCCGGGCCCTCAAACAGATAGGGTTTTGAGGGCCCGGAACCCTGCTATGGAGGGTCCGACCCCTGCCATGGAGAGCCCAAGGATTCTTAGGGATATATATATTATAGATCCACAAACTGTCTTTGACCTCATGGTCTCGGTCCTAGTCCTGAGCACAGATATTGATACTAGTAGTTGGTAAATGCAGCAGAAAGCCATGCCAAAACCCAAAACCAGGCATGGAATTTCCGTAGTTCTGCGCTGGTGGTGGAAACCACCCGGGTGTTCTTCCCTATTCTTTCCTTGCACTTCCCTGAAACATCGGTTTTAACTCGGCATCTAACATTGCAAATGGTATAACTGTACCCACCAAAATCGCTAAAATAGATCAACATACAGTAAACACCTTTTCTTGCCACATTTCTCTAGACTTTCGCAGCCTGATCGGGCTCGCACGCCACTCACTTTGCCCTTCGTTCTGGACATCATGGCGGAAAACGCGCGACGACATGCGCGGGCGGAAATGTAAACCTCTGTGAAGAGGTACTCGGAGGGCGGGTTGTAGGACTCCGCATGCCCGGGCAATGCCATCTTTGGTGCTGGCAGGGCCGTGGGTGCCTCGCCGTGCAACTCCGATGTCGCTGTCAGAGACTCGTGTGAAAGATCGATTTTTAGAAGCTTTTTATTTAAAAATAATACAGTGTATCATATAAACAGTACATATTCTAAACAAAAAGTGTTTCATCTAAGGTATAGATAACATTTTTTTTTTAAACATGTTTAATATTAATATACATCTCCATACACGTGATTAGAAAATTAGAAAGATCATTGTCAGCTCATAATTCGTAGTCAAAAACTACTTGCGCTGGCTATCAAAATAGAGCCATACGCTTCGGATGACTTTCTAAATCCAATTGTTCATCTGTTGATTTCATGCTTGAAGCATCAGGCAATCCCCATCATTAGTGAAATCAGGATTCCTTCCGAAAGGGTTTGCGCTGAAAGGACTTGCACTGGAAGAACTCGCGCCGAGGAGTCGCTCCGGAATGATCCATAAAGCCACAAGTCATGACGTCAACAATGACACTACTGGCGTCGGTCCTTTCGACATATCCAACAGATCGCACGACGCCTCATACGCTGCTCCCTGGACATGTTCGATCTCCTTGTGTCTCTGATCCGTATTTAAACCCATGTGGCTCCACTCTGCGTGGTTCCACTCTGTGTTGTCCCACTCCGTGAGGTAGTAGGTAGTAGGTAGCTAGTAGGTAGTAGGTAGCTAGTAGGTAGTAGGTAGTAGGTAGTAGGTAATAGGTAGTAGGTAGGAGGTAGCAGGTAGCTAGTAGGTAGTAGGTAGTAGGTAGTAGGTAATAGGTAGTAGGTAGGAGGTAGCAGGTAGCAGGTAGGAGGTAGTAGGTGGTAGTAGGTAGTGGTAGTGGTAGTGGTAGTGGTAGTGGTAGTGGTAGTGGTGGTAGTCGTAGTAGTAGTAGTAGTAGGAGTAGCAGGAGGAGGAGTAGGAGTAGGAGTAGGAGGAGTAGGAGTAGTAGTAGTAGTTGTTGTTGTTGTTGTAGTTGTAGTTGTCGTCGTTGTAAGCGAAAGAGTATGCGTAAGCGTACGCGTAATAGTAGTGGCAGTGTATAGCGGAAGCGGTAGTGATAGAGGTGCTACAGTAGCAATACAGGGAGAAGTGAAAGTGATCCCTTGCCGTCCCTTTCCCCTATTTCCGCATGGCAACGCCATTTTAATGAAGTCATCCCTAAGTCATCTCTTTGAAGCTTTCCACATAAAGTAGCTGAGTGATTCAGCCAAAAACCCATGGCAACGCAACAGCAGGAAGAACATACAGAAAAAAACAAGCATAACATATAACGTTGCATTTAGTATGGTAGGAGCCTAAAAGAGACGACATTGTAGATGTGCTTTCCCAAAGCTAAATTCCTCAATTTAGAAAAACATGAGACGACTTTATCATTTGCCAGCAGCAGCAGCAGCAGCAGCAGCAGGCAGCTGCAGAAGCAAGAGTAGTAGTAGCAGCAGCAAACCTCAGAAGCAAGGATCTTAAAGGGCAGCAATAGCTGAACAATAGAACACTAAACTCAGAATATAAGTTTCCTAGGCTCCAAATGGGTGCATAAATCCCACCCCTATAAAATACATAATTAACTTCCCCTGGGCTTGAGTACTACCTCCTTGAATGCTTGATTGGAGTAAAGATTTCAATGAGTCATGAGTCTTGAAATGTTTGTGCGGTTCTCTTTGTTTAAAGAAGGTGTTCCGGTCAGAGTTGCAGGAAACAAGCAAACCTCAGAAGAGGTTAAGCAAGGATCTTAAAGGGCCGCAATAGCTGAACAACAACAAACTAAATAAATAAACAAAGCTAAGCAAACCATTTAAAAAATAAAACAAGCTAACATCAGAAAAAATCGACACTGTTTTTTGTTTCCATTTACAAAACTATTCAGATTCCGTGAATTAGTTTGTGAAAACATTTGTGTCTTTCCAATTGACTACAGTAATTGGAATTTGACATTATGAGTTATGGGGTTCTAGAGCCAAAGAGACATGACTTGGCCTTCTACTTTGGCATCGGCTGCATTGGTGCACATTGACTAACAGCGTATATATAATATGTATATATATATACATATAGTGAATGAACACCAGGAAGATTGTCTGGATGATCTTCGATTGTCAACGGTGGCTTTCGATGATGGTGAACCTTAGGTGTCCAATCTGCGATCGTCCGCGTTCAATGAATTGGTTCAACAAAAATATTCTGGCTGACAAAGTGTCTGGAGAATGAAATGTCATACGGGTTTTCCATCCGTCGGGTGATCATGTTATCATCACGGGAGAATCGGTCCAGAGTTTCTAAGTCAATACTATGTCAATACTTTAATATTCTTAAATCCTTATGCTGCAATGCTGGCAAACACATCAAGAACCACTGAAATTATCCTGGTCCTCCAATGAATGTATGTCAAACACCCAGCCAACTCACATTCATCATCAAGTCGACTTCAAGTTCCATCTAGCCAATCACAAACTTACTTCAACCATCTTCTCAAAGACTTCACCCAGAGGTGTGCAAATATGGACGACCCCCTGGCCTGAGTCGCTCTTGCTTCCTTACAGATCTCACATGCTGGGTCATGGCACACCCCATGGGACCCTGGCACACCGCATGGGACCCTGGCACTGAGAATGAACAGCTTAGACTCTGAATCGATGCTGAGGTCAACTCACCGCTTTCATGGGCCCCACACGTTTTCACCCACATCCCACCAATACTCCACCGCTCCCGCGGCCTGCGGCCCGCGCGGCCCACGGCGCCTTCCGCCGGAGTTGTGCCTCATCGGCCCACAAATCCCACACCTCGGGCGCCGGTGGCGGTGGCGGCCTGGCGGAATCGGACGCGGCCTCTCGAGATGTACAAGTCTGGCCAAATGTGTTCGTTTCAATTAAGACTCAGCATGACTCTGTAGATCAGTTTGGGGGGACCATGCTTTCCATCCTTTCACGAAAAAAGTGCACATGTGTCGGTTTCATGACCCCAAACACCTCGAAACAATCCATCCCTACACGTCCAAAGTTCCTGCAAAAATGTGTTCTATGTTTCCTTCCTTAAGTATTGGGTTTGCATGACCATCTCCAGTAAAGTGAGGCCCTTGACTTGTAGGGCATGGATGTCATGTATGCTATATAGGGTCCGCTTGAAGGGCGAAGCATGGCTAAAGTGGATGATTTCAGCGACTGCAATCGCTGCTGTGTGATACAACGGGGTTTGGTCCGATTTTTTCCAAGTTGAAAGGAAAGACCTCCGAAATCCCACGGACACCTCTGGAACCCCTACGGCTCAGCTTCTTTTGTTCCAACAACTTGATTGGCCCGTGGCCAAAAAAATGGACTCCTCGGGCTCTTACAGCCGCAGTTTCCAGATCCCGCCTTGAAATAGGCCCGGGATCCTCTGTCAAACACACCGCCCCGGCTGAGGAGGTCTAAGATAGGCTCCTCTGGGGGCGTTCAGCCTTTGCCAAGGTGTATCAGCGAGACATCGAGCAATCGAGAGATGGCGCCGGGAGGCGCTGTTGTTCACAGCTTCCGCCCACGTCTCTCAACCCTCGGCGTGCGTGGCCTTCACAGGGCCAGTGCCGCGAGCTGCGAGACTGGCAAGACTTTCTTGAAATTAAGGGCTGGTTGGATGAGGCAATGCTTCGTCATAGGCGAAGGTCAAGGTCAGGGAATAATAGGGATCTCACCTGTTCCCAAAGGCACAAAATAAAACTGCAAACAGTGGAGCTCCTTGTATTTGTGAGCTTGATCACCACAACACTGCCTGGGAAACTCAACACACATCACTGGGGACGCAAACAACCTAACTCTGTTCAATCTTCTACTTCATCTCAGTTCCTGGCAAAAGGGTTACCGGAAAGTGCTTTGGACATGGAGGAAAAGTCTGCTTCATGCCGAACAAATGGAGCTAATAAGTTACTAATAAGCACTTGTTGACCTTTTTTTTATGCCCCCTCCAACAATAGCCACAGAGTTGAAACATCTGGCGCCACTGGGGTCGTCCGGGCCGCGATCTGTCTCTCGCCAAAGGCCCAAAGAACCACCACAAACTCCAGAGAAACAAGGCAAATTCACATGAGCCAGGCAGCCACACGTGTAAAAACGGATGATCACAGACTGTGTGCCCTTGTTTACCCATCTATAGTCAGAACCAAGGTTTTTTTTGGCACGTACCTCCTCAGTCCTTGGGTTCAATGGAATTGGGTGAAATCATGGCGGCTCAGTCCTCGGTCAGCCAACCTTTCCTAGTTTCTGCTGCGCCTAGGGAGTCCATGCCAAGATCCCCCCCTGGCAATGGCCAACACCCCTGGCCTTTAGTATGTTCATCAAAAACAGTAGTCCATAGCCTATAATAGCAGTCATTATGTCATGAAAGATCTTCACCTGGAACTTCCAAAGTAGAAGATGGGACATGACCCTGTCTAAGCAGAAAAGGTACCAGTAGCCAATTGCCGAGGTACGAAGTGAGATTCCAGGTTATATATATATATATACAGTAATCCAAAAGCCGATGAAAAACAGGTCAGCCTTTTTCTCCAGGACCAGCCGAACGGCTGGTCTACCGTCGCGAAACCGGCTGAAGACCTGGGAGCCAACCCCCGTTGCCGTGACGGTGTTTCCACACAGCATGGTCTAAAAATGCTTGAGTGCCCCAGAGCCACTCATTGAATGTGCAAAAAACACGTATCAATGAAAACGAATAGGGGATTCCAGCCTTATGCCGAACAAAAGCGACCAGGACAAGCCATCTCGGGTTGGAGAATACACCAAGCGATCAAACGTAGAAATCTAGCAGATTTGGTACTCCTCATGTGTCGTTGCCTGGGACGGCGAAATATCATTCCAGCCTTGCAAACCGAGCACTGCATAGGAAGAAGTTCAAACTGCTCCGCAGCAGAGTTTTGCTCCTCAACACGGTGTTTTTCGTTCTTTGCCACAAAAGAAGCCTCTAGTCTTTAAGTCATATCCTCCCCCAACCAATATCGCTGGAATGGTAGGGTCCATATCACCTGGGTGAAATAAGCCTGATGGAGATCAGGGTTTCTTGACCGTAGAGACACCACAAGACCATCTTGGGGCCTAAAAAACCCTATAGTATCCTATAGTCCAAAGAGAACTTGAGTGACTGATATGATATTGGTTGAAATACACAACAAACAAAAAACACCAAATCGATCAGAAGGCTCGTGGCGCGATCCAATCGTTCAGCCAGGATCCCATTGATCCTACAAGTATCCCCACACCACAAGTCACAGTGGATTGCACAGATTCACGGGGTGGTAATGAATGCTTGCAATCTTGCAACGGGGTTTTGTGCTGAGGATCTGTTTGCTTCAGCTTTAGCACACCGAATCCACCTCGACTCCGTCGTGAGTGGCACAGTGACGGCGTGGTCGACCAAAGCGTTGGCAGATGTTGCCAACAATTATATATGTATCATGGTCTGTAAACCGTGACCAATCAAACAAATTCCTTGCAACACACAAATAGCAACCAAACAAATCACATATATTGATAACCCCAATGAATGCTTAACATGTTTAAAAAAGTGGTGCGCGGCATGGTGCGCGGGGTGGGTCACGTAAGGATGGAAGGCTTCAAACAATTTGAGGCATGTAATCATCCAAACAAACTCAAATACTGGGTTGGTGGGTTGGCTCACTCAAACTCACGTTTGAAGTCACAATAATCGTATTTTTGAAAGACTTGAAACGCACCTTCTGGGATCTTTCTGTTGGGCATGTCGCCCGAACAAAGTAGACAAATACAACACGCGAAACCAGAAAATGGTGCACATGTACTCCAAAATCCACACACGGAGGCCAATAAAGGTGCATTCATATTGTAAAAACAGAACACAGAAGCAACAAAAATGGCGCGCCTACGTTGTAAAAACAACACCGTCTGCTTACGTGCACCATTTCCTGGAGCGATTGGATGTGATCGGAAGTGATCGGCGGAACTTACGTGCACCACTTCCTGGAGCGATTGGAAGTGATCGGAACTGATCGGAAGTGATAAGCGGAGCTTACATGACCCACTTTTTGGTGCACATGTCCACGTGTTAAGCATTCAAAAACATACGTCAGTTACATGGTGGTCCACTTTCCGCTTCCAGGTATGCTTTTGAATGCTTAACACGTGGAAATGTGAATCAAAAAGTGGGTCATGTAAGCTCCGCCGATCACTTCCGACCAGTTCCGATCACTTCCAATCGCTCCAGGAAATGGTGCACGTACGCTCCGCCTATCACTTCCGATCAGTTCCGATCACTTTTAGAAAGCGACAAAACAAGGGTTTGTTGGTCAGTTGATGTTGCCAAAACCAGGTTACGTGTAGGCAAACATGTGCTCAGAATCTTCAAAGCAAGGGTTACGTATCGCTTCCTCGTGACTCAATGTCTAGATCACGTTTGGAAAAAAAGACTGGCGCTGGCTCGTTGAAAAACAAGGCATGGAAGGTTCCCGCCGAGTGCCACACACGGGGCCCTTCTAATGAAGAACAAATAGGACTCCAAGTGATGGTTTGTACAGGTATTTTATATCTTCTTTCAAGCCTGCTCTGTTTGTTTACGTGACACCATTCTGTACATGTGCTGCCCTTACATGCCCTACCTTTCTTCGAGGTCTTTACATACGTGACCCTGCTTTTATGTTGCGTGACTATATATTCATACCCCCATGGATTCATATGGATTCATATGTTAAGCAGTCGTTGGATTATTCAACACATATCTGTGTGCAACAACAGTATCATACGCACACGCACGCACACATAAACAAAAACAAACACGTTTGACTTGGACGCTGTCAGGGGATGTTGCGGGGCAGCGAACACCGCGAGCTAGCAACAAACAGAACCCCCAACACATGTTCATATCGTTGTGCCTACAGTGAATTAGGCGGCCATCGCTAGTAGGTTGGAGGCCGTTGTCGTGCCCACAGTGAACTCCAAATCGGGGCTTTGCAGATCTGAGCGAAACTTTTGTACTCGTGTGTGTGGGTGTGCCACACTCTGTTTCTAAGAGTTCTAAGGCTAAGGGTTCTTAGTTTTGCAAAAGCAGGGGCGTCAGGCTCGATACACCTACCTGACGCAACGAAGCTATGGTGTAATCGAGGGAGGTGAGAGCTGAACACTCTCATGTACCTGCTGACCAACGCACTGACTCCAATGGTCCACCCTGTCGCAGTCTTTTTGATTCCATGGTTTTTCGCATGATAGACCCCAAAACAGGTTTCCCTCCGCATTGCAGCTGCTGATCGCCGCTTTCGTTGAGCGCTTTTGCAACATTTGTTCAACATCCAGTTGATCGCGGACTCTGCCGCCTTTCCGTTCGATCGTTCCTTTTTTACGTGGAATTGAGTTAACTGAAAACCCCATGACTAAGTGTGTGTGTCAGGGGGGTGGTCGCTGGTGCAGGTCACTGGGATACGGGATGCACTGGAAGCCATTTGTTTTTGTGGTTCTGGACATATTTGTTCTATAGTATACATATAGGTTGATAAAGTCTTTTGTAAGTTTGTCCTGTCAAAAGGGATCTAGGTCTAAGCAAGCTATGTCAAGGGTATGTGTCCATGTGTTTCTTGATATCTGTTACACAATATTGATGATTTTGCAATTTTACATCCTTAAAAAAACAAGTCCAAAGACTTTTCAAAGACTCATGTAGAATCTTGCCATTTACCTCATTGAGTTATATATTTGCATGATCAACTCCGGCAAAATGAGGAGAAACTTACCTGTAGGCAATATGTTGGCCCTTCTGTCATGAACATGGCTCTCTCGATTTCGTTCCCCATGTCTCTCCATGTCTCACCTTTGGTCTTG